CAAGTTGATGTAACCAGTAACCAGTTTACAGTTAACATAAGTGATGGGCCCAAGTTGATGTAACCAGTAACCAGTTTCTGTCGAGTTGATGCCAACTCATGATGACCCGTTGTGTCAGAAGAACTGTGCTCTGGAGCGTTCTCAGTGGCTGATCTTTTCAGACGGTAATTGTCAGGCCTTTCTTTTAAGGTGCCTCTGGGTGGAGTTGAACCACCAACCTTTCGGTTAGTAGCAGAGTGAGCCCCTCCCTCAAATAGCTTCTATATACTGAATCTCCTATCCCTGACTCCTCTAGTTGTAACAGTTGTATTGGTAGGGCATTTATCCCCTTCCCCCTTCTCTAGGAATTAGACCTTAGTTGATTTGTCCCTGTGTCTCCAGCTTATGATACCATACTTAACCCACATAAAGTGCCTGTTACATGTATGTTGATGTGTTCCTGGTCGGAGTCCTCATGGTAAGGGAGTGTGTGCCAGATGTCTGTAGTAGGCAGAGCAGAGGTCAGCGTGACCCTGAAGGGCAAGAACTGATTTTGGAAGCCTGCTTCTTTCAGTTCCAGGCTAAAAGGCATTGATCAGTCTCTGAGATACTAAAGACAAGGAGTTTCATAAAGTTTGTGAAAAACTGAATTGAAAGATAAGATAATGGAATTTTTCCATGAACTTTTTAAAGCCCCCTTATAGATGATAAGTCAGGAAATTTCAGGAAAAAGACATAGGCTTGGAAATGGGTGGTGATGGTAGAGGATGGAGTCGAGGGGCTTCCTGTGTTGGTTGATCCCAAAGAATAGTATGGTGCTGTGGATTCAACTGTGTCCCCCAAAATATATGTTGTAAACCCTAGCCACTAAACCTGTGGTTGAGCCCTGATGTGGCGCTGTAGGATAAGCATTGGACTGCTAACTGCAGGGCAACAGTTCAAACCCACCATCCACTCTTGGTAAACCTATACAGGGTCACTATGAGTTGGAACCCACTCTGGGGCACACAACACCACCTGTGGTTATAATCCCATTTGAGTTTGGGTTCTATGTGTTATGTTAATGAGGCAGTATTAGTGTGTTGTTGTTAAGTGCCATGGAGTCAGTTCCGACCCATAGTGACCCTGTATAAGGTTTCCAAGGAGCAGCTGGTGAGCTTGAACCATCGCTGGTCTTGGAGTTCAAACGGCTTCACAGTCTGGTGCATTAACCCTCAGCGCCACGCCAGGACTCTGCTTTAACTTGCTCTCTTTTGAGGTATAAGAAAGCAGATGAGGAAACAGATGTCGTGCCATATGAAGATCACCAAGGCTGAAAAGTGACATGGACATTCCCCTAGAGATACAGAGAGAAAACCTTCCTCTAGAGCCAGCATCGTGAATTCAGATTTCTAACCTCCTAAGTTTTTACCTTCTCAGATGGTTTCCTGGAGCCTTGGTGTGGCACTGTGGGTTAAACACTGGACTGCTAACTGCAGGGTTGGCAGTTCAAGCCCACCAGCCACTTGGAAACCCTATACAGGGTTGCTATGAGTCAGAACCAACTCCATGGCACTTAACATCAACAACAAACTGTTCGTTAGAACTACCCTGGTTGTTAGAACTACCCTTTTATGATATTTTTGCTCTAACAGTATTAGATAACTAATACACATGGTTTGGGAGTATAGGGTGTGATGGACCTGGGTTTGAGGCCTAGCCCTGATGTTTACTTAGATGTATAAAAGGGTAACAGTGCCCACCTTACAGGATGGCTGTGAGGAGTCACTAAGGGTATGCCAGAAGTATCCCTCCCAGTGAGCTAGCTCCACATCATAAATGTGATTATTCCCCTCAGTGAACATTCCTGTGGTTTCCTATGTATAGTCCCAGACTAGCCTGAAGACACACAGATGAGCACTGGAGAGTCCCCAACATAAAGCTCACTATCTGGTGAGAAGTCAGACCCACTAATGTATCATTATAATAGTAGGTAGTAAGTGGCTGGCCGAAGTTCAGAGACTACAGGGGAGGGTACATATAGGATGTGGTTGTATGTCTTAGTTACCTGGGCTGCTGTAACCAATACTTCAAATAGGTGGCATTGAAGAACAGATAATGCATTTTCTTATTGTTCAAGAGGCTAGAAGTTTGAATACAGGGCATGACCTTAGAGGGAGCCCCTTCTGTCTTTCAGCTTCTGGTGGTGTTGTTAGTTGTGAGTTAATTCCAAACTTCTGGTGGTCCTGTGTATACTGTCCCATAGGGTTTTCAAGGTTTTTGATCTTTTGGAAGCAGATTGCTAGACCTGTCTTGTGAGACTTGTGGTTGGGTTTGAACCACCAACCTTTCATCTAGTAGTTGAACTCTTTGTTCTCCCAGGGACTTATAGCTGCCAGCAATCTGTAGCATTTCTAGGCTTGTAGCTGTATCTCTGTCATCCTCTTCTCCAACCCCTGTGTTTATAGGGCTTGGAGGAGAGGATGATATAGCTGCTTCAACTCAGAAGGGATGAGGTGTAAGAAAGCCCCCTTCACTGATCTCAGTAACATTGCAAAGAAGCTCCTTATTTCCAGTCATATTTACAAGTATGTTGTTGATATTGTTTTTGTTAAGTACTGTCAAGTCAGTTCTGACTCATAGGGACCCTGAAAAGGTTTTCAAGGAGCAACATGTGGGTGTGAACCATCAACCTTGTGATTAGCATTACAGTGCTTATCCTACAGTGCCACACCAGGACTCCTTTACAGGTATTGTTGTTAAGTACTGTCAAGTCAGTTTCGACTCATAGAAACCCTGTATAAGGTTTTCAAGGAGCAGCTGGTAGGTTTGAACTACTGACCTTGCAATGAGTAGTCCAGTGCTTAGCCTAACACCACACGTATTTTGGGAAGACACATTCAATTCATACCAGAGTATCAAATTAGAGGAAATTGATATCCAAGTTGAACATTAATAATGGCACATAGGTTGTGGTGCTGTAGGATAAGCACTTGACTGCTAACCACAAGGTTGGCTGTTCAGATTTACCATTCACTCCTTAGAAATCCTATACAGGGTCGCTATGAGTCAGAACTGATTTGACAGCACTTAACAACAGCAAGGTTAGGAGAGAATATGCTAGATTCAGGGAACTGCAAGTATTCTGTGGGGCTGCCAAAGAACGCTGGGCTAATATGTTTGTGTTTTTCTTCTCTTCTTAGAGCAATGGAAAGGTTTAATCTGAGGGGGTGATATGGTCAGATCTGTTTACTAGGAAGTTCTTTGGGGCTACCATATAGGACTAGAAAGGGAGGGAGGCTGAAGGCCTGGGAGGAGTTTCCAGCCAGATGAGAGCTGATGATAGAGGAGGCTGAGAAAATTTGAAGGAGATCTAACAGAAAATGGTGTCTAAGTTGAATGGGGGTGGGTGGGTGGGGAGTAGAAATTGATTCCTAGGATTCTGGCTTGAAGGAGTGGACGGGTGGATGGATCATTGTATCAGGATAGGAACCTAGGATGAGGAGCAAGATTTGGGGGACTGGTGAAGGATAGGGAAGAGATTAGCCCTGAGACTTTTTAGGATACTTGCTCAGTAATGTTGGTATGCAGGTGATGGTGGGGAATATTTGCTGAGAGGAGCTCCTTCTCTATGAAAACCCTGTTACTCCCCAGAGCCCCCCTAGAACTGCTGGGATTGTGATTTTTGTTTTCATTGGTACCATTTCAAGCCAGGCCACCACTTCTGGTCCCTTTGCATTTATTCCCTTGACTTAGGACCCATAGTCCCTCTTGTTCACGTGCTCACCCAGAAGTTTCTGTCTCTTTACTCTTTGGAAACAGGAGACATTGGCATTTTCCGTCTCTTTCAGACACAACTGAGTCTAAGCACTCTCCTCTTAAGCAGGACTTCTTGGAAGAAGGACTATCTCAGGAGATAATGGAGACCTTTTCAAAGGATGGCCTCTGGTACTCCAGTTTAGGAGAAGCCTGTATTGGTGACAGCTGGTTAGATAATTTGCTAGAAGATCCTGAAAGTCTTCTGAGGTCTGACTTCGTCACCAACAAGGAAAGCCCCACAAAGTGCAATAGCCCAGAACTCAAGAGAGGCGTTAGTCCTGGGTCCATCCTCCTCACAAAAGAGGATTCCACAGTGTCTGATCTTCCTGAAGAGAGCCTCACACCAGCAAAACCTCCAGAATTTAAGAATGGCATTGGCTACAACTCAGACCAGCACCAACAGGATAATACAATCCAGAACAGTGAAAAACCTTATAAATGTGGTGAATGTAGGGAGACTTTCAGTCAGAGTTACCACCTTATCCAGCACTGGATCATTCACACTAACGAGAAACCCAGCACTGTGGATCAGGAGTATGAACAAGGTTTCAACCAGCTTTGTGGGCAGCAAGTGACTCACTCAGTCTGCAAGTCTTATATGTGCAATGTGTGTGGTAAAACTTTTAGTCAGAATACACACCTCCTGTGGCATCAGAAACTTCACACTGGAGAAAACCTGTGTAAGAATCAAGGTAGTGACCATGCAGTCAGTCACAGTACACAGCTTGTTCAGCGTCAGAACAAGCCCCCAGCTGGTAGGTCCTACAAATGTAACGAGTGTGGCAAGACTTTTAGCCGAGCCTTCCATCTTACTCGACATCAGCAGATCCATACTCGGAAGCACTATGAATGTGCCAAATGTAAGGTGACCTTCCGCTTGAGTAAACATCTCATCCAACATCAGAAGACTCATGCTATAAAAACTACCTCCAAGTGTCAGAAATGTGGGAAGGGCTTTAAGTGCAGTGCATCACTCATCCAACACCAGTCTGTCCATACTGGAGAGAAGCCTTACAAATGTAATGAATGTGGGAAACTCTTCAGCCATACCTCAACTCTAAAGATCCATCAGCGGGTTCACAGTGGGGAGAAACCTTACAAATGTAGTGAGTGTGGGAGAGCCTTCTGCCGGAACACTCATCTTAGTGAGCATAAGAGAACACATACAGGATATAGGCCCCACAAATGCCCTGAGTGTGTCAAGAGTTTTAACCGGCCTTCACACCTGTTTCGACATCAGTTGACTCATACCACAGACAAACCCTACAGCTGTGCTGACTGCAAGAAAACCTTCAGCCATAATGAACACCTCATTCAGCACCAGAAAATTCATACTGTAGAAACACCCTATGAATGTCAGCAGTGTGGAGAACGCTTCATTTGCAGCTCAACCCTCAATTGCCACCGGAGTGTTCATACTAGAAATAAACAGCTATTGGATGAGAATCAGAACTCAGAACATGTAGCGCCCCCAAGGATTGAAGAGAAGCTCTACAAGTGTAACCAATGTGAGAAGGTCTTTAGCCGCAGCAAATACCTAAATCAGCATCAGAGGGTTCACACCAGGCTGAAGCCTTTTGAGTGTAACCAGTGTGGGAAAGCTTTTAGTGAAAATAGCAAGCTTATTCGCCATCAGAACATTCATTCTAGAGCTAAGCCCTATGAATGTGATGAATGTGGGAAAACCTTTAGCCGCAGCCGGTCCTTCACTGAGCATCAGGCCACGCACACAAGTGAGTACCTGTTGAAATGTAATGAGTGTGGACAGACCTTCAGCCAAAGAACACATCTTTTGGAACACCAGTTAGTTCACACTGGAGAGAAACCCTTCAAATGTTACAAGTGTGAGAAAGTCTTCACCCAGATAAATTACCTCATTCAGCATCAAAGAATTCATACCGGAAAGAAACCCTTTAAATGTAACGAGTGTGGCAAAACTTTCCGCCAAAGCTCATGCCTTTCCAAACATCACAGAGTTCACACAGGTGAGAAACCCTACAAATGTAGTGACTGTGGGAAAACGTTCAGCTTGAGGGCCCAACTTATTCGACATCAGAGAGTTCACACTGGAGAAAAGCCTTACCATTGTAAGGAATGTGGGAAAGGCTTCAGCCAGAGCTCTTGCCTTTCAATTCACCAGAGAATCCACACTGGAGAGAAGCCCTATGTATGTGCTGAATGTGGGAAAGCCTTTGCCCAGAAAACAAATCTCACACAACATGAGAGGATTCACACTGGTGCAAAGCCTTATGCTTGTGATGTGTGTGGCAGAGCCTTTGGTTTCAGTGCCCATCTTACTCAGCACCAGCGAATTCACACCCAAGAAAAACCTTATCAGTGTCGACATTGTCAGAAAACCTTTAGATGCTGCTCAGGCCTCACCCGACACCAGCGAATTCATACTCAAAACAAATAGAAAGTAAGCAGCTTGTTTCTGTGGCCACTAGGTGACAGCAGAGGACCAGGCTCCTAGTAAGTGTTGCTCTGAGGTCCAGCGTTGAAACCACCATATTGCAAGCTCCACACTTGAAAATAAATCTCTATTAATAAAGACCAGTAAAAATCTGCACGTGAGTTGTATTAAACAGTGAGACCACAAATACTGAGAATCAATACAGTGTTGGGATTAAAAGGTCAATTCTAGAGCTAATCTGCCTGAATTAAATTCCAGCTCTGACGTCTACTACCTAAGTGGCCAAGTGACCTTGGAAACATTATCCCCTCAGGGCCTCAGTGTCCTCATCTGTAAAATGGGAATGATAATAGTTACCTACCTCAGAGGGCTGTTGTGAGAATTCAGCAAATTAATACATGTAAAGCACTTAGAACAACTTGGCACATAAGTTCTCACCAACAGTGAGCTATAAATATACATTAGAGAGAACACTAATATACTCTTTTATATTAAAAGAATTGCAACATTCCATCTCTTTGTTTACTGCACTTGATGTTCTTACTAATGTTATGCATGGCTATAACTGAGCTTTTCTTTGAAATTATCATTGGCTTTATTTGGTTCAAAAAACCCCGTTCCTTGCTCTGTTTTAATTTCTGGTCTTGTATTCCTTATCTACTTTGTCCTAGGTTTTTAAAAAAAAATTTTTTTTTTTGCAAACTAATCCGCAAAAGTCCAAAAAGAGCATGCAGACTCCTCACTCCTAACTTCAGGTTGGCTAAGACTTTCAAGTTCTAATCTCCCAATCCTCTCACTCAAAAAGGGCTCCCCTTCCATATAACCACTGATTCCCATTAACCCGCCCTATGTGATTGGTTGTGCAAGACCCCATTTAGCATGGAAGTTAATACTGAAAACACAGCTGAATTCAAAAGCTATACTGAATACTGCCACCCAGGAAACCTATATGGAAGAGCTGCATGGAGGTAAAAATCGTGATGTAGGAAAAAGATTGCGGAGATGCTTACCATTCACCAAACATGCAAGCCAGCCAGCCACTCATTGGGCATATTGCTAGATGCTCCTGGGCCAATGGCAGTATGATAAACCCTATCCTTGCCCTTAAGCTTCTGGAATCTGAAAGGGGAATGGATGGTTTCTAATTCACAGAGGAACACTTTGTTATTGATTGACATCCAAGATGCCACATTCACTGGTGTCATCTAGCAAAGTCTGTGACCACCAAGAATTGTTGGCAAGTCCAGTGAGGGAAACAGTCCTTCCTTTTGGAACCCCTGCGTAAACCATTCATGTTGGCCAAGTCTGTTCATCAGCTCAGACTTGATAATGGAGCCACGTGGCCAGCTCCCTCTGACTGAGCTTCACTCTGGATATCTGTACCCTGCAGGTTAAGTGATCCAGTCACACATTGACTGAGGCACACCAGAAACTAAGGAAGACTTTGGATACTGACGCTGTTTTCTACTTTCATAACTTTTTGGTGCTTAAAGAAGTTTTAGAGGTGTATGCTATACCCTGTTGGGTATTTAAAATCTTACACCTTGAGTAATAGTGGTTGATTTTGTTAGCTGTTAGGGAACTTGCTGACTGACCGTAGGACCCACATCATAACAGAGGGCATCCTGTTTTTCAGGTGCCTAACCCTCTCAGTTCCCTGCTTCACAGAATCCTGTTCAGTCTAGGAGACAGGTGTTAACATATTAAAGGCATACTTGTGGGGCAGGTCAGAGGCAGGCACACAAATGGCTAAGTTTCTGTTCACTGAGTGTCAACGCCAAAGAAAGGTCAGAATCACTATGTAAGGTTGGTGGCCACTGGGGCCAGTCTCTGTAATTCATTACCTCTTGCTGTGGGTCATTGTAGACCCACTGTCCACATGTGCATGTTTGTTCTGATTGATTAAAGTTTTAAATGTGAAAATATTTGCTCCTTCTCTCCGCTTGATGTCTTCAAACAACCAAACACTGGGGATGCAGAGACACCACCTATAAAAACTCATGTTTATATATGTAAATACAGGGAGTACTTTGGCTCTGTAGGATAACCAGCAGACTGCAAACCACAAGGTTGGCAGTTAAAGGCTACCAGCCACTCCATGGAAGAAAGATGAAGTTTTCTGATCCTGTAAAGATTTACAGCCTCAGAAACCCTATACAAGGTCCCTCTAAGTTGGAACTAATTTCACTGCACTTAACATATGAATAAATACAGGCCAAAGTGGTTCATGTTTACTTAATAAAAGGGGAAGGGAGAAGAGGATGGTGTAAGAGAAGACTTGTGGCGGAGGGAGTTGGGGGAGAGAACTTTGAGATGAACTTTAAGAGGGCAAATAACATTGTGTTTGGGGGCACTGTGGCCAGAGAAGATGGCCTGAATGAAGGCAGGGAGGGGGTTCGAGTACCAGGGTTCGAGGTTGCCAACAAAAGATGCACTCCCATTATAATTGCATGGGATGACGCTTTACTTACAAAGAAGAAGTGATCGATCACATTCACAAATGGACACAAGGCTGTGGTCAGCGAGTTGCCCTCTGTGGCCAGTATAGGGAGATGATCTAGCTTGTCATGATGCAGTTGAGGGGAACCCCATTCCCCCCCCTACTAGGAACATAGATAATGAGGTTGGCCAGGTGCCGTATGGTGCCAGTTCATGAACAAGACACAGAAGGTTATTGTGTGCCCCTAACAGGCGCTGGGGGAGAAGGACCCAAAACCCAGCCCCCTTGCCAGAGAATGTTCTGGGAATACTAGGTGTTCAGGCAACGCATTCCTCCAACGGTAGGGTGCAGGGAGGGGAATAGTGTCCTGGCCTACCCTGCCGGTGTATTTTAACTTTGCCACCTTAACTCTTGAGGAGTGGAATGCTTTTACAAACAATCCAGTGTTTGCTAAATCACCATTTCATTCATCATTCAACATATTACTGTTCATCACGGTACCTGGCCAAGTTCTCCGAGCTGAGCATACAGGTATATTATTAAGGAGCCTTGGTGACACAATGGTGAAACATTTGACTACTAACCTAACTGTCAGCAGTTCAAACCCACTAGTAACTCCCAGGGAGAAAGAAAGATGTGGTAGTCTGCTTCTGTAAGGATTTACAGCCTTGGAGTCCCTGGGGGGCAGTTCTACTCGGTTGGGTTTTTGTTTCAGTAAAAGACATTCTAGCTGGTATGTTGGTGTCACTGTTGCTTGCCTCTTTCCAGCAATACATAATTCAGATGAGAGAAGCCTTGATTCCATTCTCATTTAAATTTTCCAACAAATTACTTGCAAATTTTGGTACCATTATCAAAAGGATTCCTTGTTCTGGACACCTTATATCCCACAGTGCCTAGAAGCCATCATGGTTGAGAATCACTGAGTACCCTTCCAGAGTGGAACCTACCAATTACAAGTCCTTCGGATGACAGTAACCCTATTATGGATTTAATTTTGTTGTTGTTAAGTACTGTGGAGTCAGTTCTGACGCACCATGACCCTGTGTAGGGTTTCCAAAGAGTTGCTGGTGGATATGAACCGCTGACCTTGTGGTGAGAAGCTCAGTGCTTATCCTAAGACGTGTGACTCCTAGCCCCTATACCTATAGTTTTAACCCCATTGGATTTTCTTTGTTATGTTGTTACTAAGTGCCCTCATTCAGTTCAGACACAGCAACCCTGTATAAGGTTTTCAAGGGGTGGCTGATGGGTTTGAACTGCTGACCTTGTGGTTAGCATTCTAGTGCTTATCCTACAGCACCATCCCAGGATACCTTTTGTTAATGAGGCAGTATTAATACAGGGTGTGTATTAAATCTATCTCTTGAGATACAAAAGAACAGAGTAAGCAGGCAGAGGTGGGGGAAGATGCATGCCATCCATGCCTCCAAAAGATCACCAGGAAATAAGGGACAGAGTGGAAGGCAGAAGGACCTTCCTCAGCGTTTTCAGTCAGCCTCTAGAGCTGGCGCCCTGAATTTGGACTTCTAGTCTCCTAAAAGAAAAACATAGTTTCTGTTTGTTACAGCCACCCACTTGGGGTACAGTCACACCTTGGAGATACAGCAGGTTTGGTTCCAGAACACAGCAATAAAGTGAGTATCTCAATAAAGTGAATCTCATGATTTTTTTGGGTTCTCAATGCATGTAAATATTTACAATCTACTGTAGTTTATTAAGTGTGCAATGTTAAGTGCTGTTGAGTTGGTTCTGACCCATAGTGACCCAGTGACCCTGTATAAGGTGTAAGGAGTGGCTGGTGAGCTTGAGCTGCCGACATTGTGGTTCAAACTGACTTTGCAATCCAGCATATTAACCCACATGAAAACATGATGGTAATTAACAAACTGACCCATTGCCATTAATTCTAACACATGACTATAGAGCAAAGTAGAACTGATCTTTAATAAGAGTTTTGGAGACTATAAATATGGAAGCAAACAGCCTCATCCCTTGTAGGGCAGCTGCTAGATTTGAACCACCAACCTGGTTAGCAGTCTGACACTTAACCCATTGCACCACCAGTTCGCATGCAAAAATGTGACAGAGTGACCACATGCTGTTGGAAAATGGCACTGGTAGTCTTGTCTTGTTTGATGTAGGGTTGCTATAAAACTTCATTTAAAAAAAAATACAGGATCTGTACAGGACAATAAAACAAAGTAGTTCTATATTTGTTAGAGCAGCAATAGATGAAGATATCCCCCAGTAAGACTTGGCATTTCATGTAGGACCCTTATGTGATTCCACTTTGATGATTGAGGATTCTGAAGCTGACAGAGGTAAAAACAAAAGGGATTTACTTAAAGACTCTGTTGCCCTCAGTCAATTCTGGCTCATGGTGACCCCATGTGTGTCAGAGTAGAACTGGGCTCCATAGGGTTTTCTATGGCTGATTTTTCAGAACTAGATCACCAGATCTTTCAGCTGAGGTGCCTCAGGGTAGACTCAAACCGCCAAGCTTTCCAGTGGCAGCCAACTGTGTTAATGGCACCCTCCAGGGATTACCTACCAACATCCC